ACTCCTAGCAACACTATAGGACCCTAAACCTTAAATAGTCTCTGATTTGATGACCACAAGATTTCCAAGTATAGTGAGGAGAGTCCTGCATTCCTAGAATAATCCTTTAAAATAAAATCTACTTATAATACTTTATTTAAATATCATAGTAGTCAGAAGTTTTCAAACTAAATTCTAGAGCTTGCATAAACAAAAGCCATTCACATAATTTAGATCACAAATAAATGATTAAATCTCTTTGGGGGCAAAATGTTTTCTGAATCATACATAACAAATCATCACAAGACTTTAAAGCTGGAAGAGACCCTTTAGAACAAATCTAAACTATTACCCCTTTCCTTCCAAACGGTTCTACCATCCGTAAATGCACTCTCCCCTGTCAGGTAACAATCACCTGCCCCAGCTTGTCCTTAGACTCTAACTTCTGTCTATGGGAACACCCTGTCGGTGAATGTGAATAACCTGGGTGGCATACACTGAGTGACAAACTTGGGATCTAAACAGATGACTCAAATCTAAAGTGACCAACCTTACAAACTGGTAAATATGACTGCTTATACTTTAAAAAAATAACAAGAATTTCCAAGTTCAGAATGAAGAAAAGCACAAGATGTCCATGGGTGGGAGGGGGAAGTGGGGGTGAATATACATATACCGTGACTAGGGACTATATCAACAACAGTATAGCTTCCAGGAAGAACCAGGTAACCGCCCTCTCTATGTGCTCATTATAGCACACCTGGAGTATTATGCTCTGTTCTGTGTCCCACATTTTGGGAGAGGCCGAAAGACTGACAAAGTCGAGAAGAGGGGAGACTAAGCTAGTGAGAGAATTTGAAACCACGTCGCATAAAGAACAGCCGAAGGGGCTGACAGTGTGTAGTCCAGACTCGAGGGAACTTGAGCACTCGCCCCAAATCCCTGAAGGGCAGTCTTGGCGCAGAGAGAGTAGACTTGTTCTGCACTGCCCCAAAGGGAGAACCAGAACCAGTCAGTGTTAACTACAGAGAAAAATATTTCAGCTTAGCTCATGGAAGTATTTCTGAGAAGACAGTCGTACCCAGCCCTGTTGATGTTATATGTCGTGGAATTAGTTCTGGAGTAAAACTGCCCCAGAAGGTTTCCTAGGGAGTGGCAGGGGTCCTCAAACTATGGCCGTGGGCCACAGGCGACCCGCCGAGGACATTTATCCGGCCTACCGGGTGTTTTTGCTGCCACTGCCTGTCCTACTTAGCAGCCGACTCGTCCAGTGTGCATAGGAATTTGTTCACAGTGTTTTTTAAACTATAGTCCGGCCCTCCAACAGTCTGAGGGACAGTGAACTGGCCCCCTGTTTAAAAAGGTTGAGGGCCCCTGGAGTAGTGTGCCAGGCCTTTTCTCCCATGGAGTTGTTTGTGGGTTTGAACCACCGGTCTTTTAATGAGCAGCAGAGTGCTATTGAACGATCAGGGTTCCTTTGTCTAGCCCTAAAGGTTCACAATTTAAGAAATTCAAGTATCTGTCATCACATCGATGTCTTCATGCTGATTATTGCTACTACTATTATTCCAGAGCCTCTAGCATCACAGCCTCTCCCCTCACTCTTCTTAAATGCCCTATCCAGGCAACCAACAGCCAAACACTTTGTCAGGCTATGGGAGGAAAGGCCCTCCTTGCTGGGCAATTAGTTTCATTTTGCAGATCAGTGTCCCTGTAAACAAAGCAGTCACTAATTGAGGGTCAGGCACAGGCTCTCAGCTAGACTTACATAAAAGAAAGTTTTAACAAATCACAAAGCAGCTATAAGACCATCCCATCAAATAATAAATAGTAACAGTGATATTTGGTCCTTAGGAGAACATTGAGATATTGTTTTAAACCTGTACAGCCATCTGCCCAAACCACCTCTCTGAAATTCACTTAGATGTCTCCCGCTGTCAAAGAGATGTGCTTCTGGCCTAAAGTAGATTATCTCTGGTACCCATACGCCCAAACCCACTGCTATCGAGTCAATTTTGACCCTCAGTGATCCTATAGGACAGTGTAAAACTGTCCCTTTTGGGTTTCTGAGGCAGTATATCTTTATGGGAGCAGGAAGCCTCATCTTTCGGCTGCAAAGCAGCTGGTGGGTTCAAACTCCTCTGAGCTTGTGGTTAGTAGCACAACTCATAACCCACTACACCACCAGAGCCGCTCTGTTACCCACTGTGCACAGATTTTTTTTAAAAATCCACACTTGGATTATGTCACTTTAAAGCTAAAACTGTCTATCAACAGGCTCACAACTAGCCCAGCTGCTAAGGACTAGACACGGGGAGTCCAGAGTAGATTCACACACAAAAAAGTGCAACCAGAGTAAATTTACGACACAGGAGAGTTTACTGAAGGTAAACATGTAGAACTTCTGTCACCCAAAGGCCATCTTAGGCAGCACATGTTAGGCCAAGGAAGGTACTAATAAGCCTGCAACAATAGTTCAGGTGGCAAATGTTAATCAGCCCAGCTTTAATACAGGTGAAATTGATTTGGCTTCTAAACCACTCCAGTCAGAGTATTAGAGAATATACATGAGGGATTTTAAAAAAGGACCCATGCATATTATTTTCTGTAGCTTTTTAAAAATTATTTTGGTGTGTGTATGTACTGCAGAAATAACCTACTGCAGAAAGCGCTCATTAATATAGAATTAAATTATTATTCATTCACAATGGAAAATGAAGCCATCAAAAATAATAAGGTAGACTTAGGCTCTGAGATGGGGGTTGGGGTGGAGCCTATGATGCATAGATAAGTGAATACAGCAAGGTTGCTGTATAAAATTATTCCATTTTGATTTTTTAAAAAGAAATAAACCAAGGCTGCGTGCGTGTGTGTGTGTGTGTGTGTGTGTGTGTGTGTGATGTGCAGAAAAGTGTTTGAAAAGAGATGAGACAAACTGTTAACAGTAGTAACCTTTAGGGAAATGACTTTTACTTTGTCCTTTATACATTTCTGGGCATTTATTTATTATTGTTTTTAAGTAAATCATTTTATTGGGGGCTCTTACAGCTCTTAGAACAATCAATAAAGGTGTTTACACTTTTAGGGTTACTCTTCTTTTTTTTTTTTAAACAGGGGAGAGCGCGAACACAGTCCCCCACTATCACAAATTATGCAGTCGAGTTTCCCACATTTGGGGAAATCGCAGGGGTCAGCACACCCGGAGTGCAATGGATAAGTCTTGCCCTGGGAAAATCACCTTCGTGATCATGCTATCTCCCCTACCAGGTAAGTATTTATGGGTTATTCTTGTGGTTGGAAAATAACAATCCAAAAACATTAAAAGTAAAATAGCACCAATGGAACACATGTATTTATCAGCAGCTAACCATTCAAAATATGTGACCTTGCTACTTTGTTCGTGCTACTGAGTGCTTGAAACCCCAGAAAATCTACCTTATACTTCTTCTTTTATATATGATACTGAAATACCAAAGTCAACATAACTCCCTACTATGCTTTTCAGATGGTTTCTAGCCAAACACACACACACACACACACAATCCCAGTCATGCTGGTGACACATCCATGGTGTTTACTCCACACCAAGAACTGTCCTGAGTGCTAAAAATACATTAATTTATTTAATCCTCACAGTAAACCTAGCTGTGAGTACTATTATTATCTCATTTTACAGTTGAAGAAACTGAGGTCAGAGCTCAAAAGTAACCTCACCAAGATGACACAACTCATCAGGGGCAGAACTGGGATTCAGCCTGGGGTTTAGTGCTGCCAGAACCCATCTTCCTAACCTGTCTCTCAGTTAAGGAGCCAATCTCTCTCTGTAACACTAATGCAGCTAACAAACAGGTAAAGCCCAGCTAGTAACTATATTCCTTCAAGCTGGAAGTGATGCCAGCTTGTTTATATGGGTGAGTAACCTGCATAAGGAGTAACCTCCTTATGGCAATGCCACACTCTCACCCAAGATTCAAGACTGTTTAGGGGCTCATAATCATGTGAGAAACCACACTATACACTCAGTCATAGTCCTAAATCCACCCCTGACTCAACAGTAATCTCTGAGCCTAAGAATTAGGTCAGAGACCCATAACAATAAATACAGCTAGACAAATGCTTTGGGCAAATCTCCAAATCTCCGACTCCAAGCCCACCGTCAGAAACTCTTGCCCAATGCTTTGACAAGGTAGATTCCATGTGTTTCCCTGAAGGCCCTCTTTAAGCCTAAGGGGCAAAGGATCAGAGTTGCCAACGTTGCTGACAGACAAACCACCAGGAAGACGAGCCTTACTCTGTATGTGGATGCAGACAGAAACGGTCATTTCTCAGCAATAGTGAACATTCTAGCTTAAGTGGGGGAGAAATGAGCATCCTCCCCTCAATTGTTTACCCAAACCTATTGACCTTGTGGCTGAGGAGGGAGTGAACACGGTGCAAGAAAGGGATTTAACCTAGTTTATAAATGTGCTCAACCTAGATACACACCTGTCCCAAATGGCCTACCAAATCCACATATTTGCAGGGATAACAAGAATTAGTGTGTTTCGGGGGGCGGGGAGGGGGTGGCGACAAGGGCCTTCAAGAGGCCTATAATACTGTTTGTAAACAGAACCCTCACCACACCTCCACCTGTCACTTGAACAGCTGATATTGACATAAACAAGGAGAGACCGACGTGGACATTGGAGCTTGGGGAGGGTACGTCCCCAGCCTCGGACTCATTGGCGAAAGGAGGTACGGCGCTGGCTTGCAAACTTCCGCAAAAGTTTGCGCCCCTTCGGGCTCCCTGACCATTTGGGAGGAGATGCCTCCCGTCCAGCAGTCGCCCCCGTCCCGGGGGAGCTCGGCCCGGGGGGTGCGGGGAACACAAAAGACTTTCCAGGTTGAGCGGGGAGGGGAGTGCGGGCGGCGAGCTGGAGATGGACGAAATCTGGGGGGCCTCTGGGGCGAGCCCGAGGACGCACGCCGGGGGCCGGGGAAGGACGCGAGGGTCCGGCCGCTGAGGACGCGCTGGGACTCACCTGGGGGCGGGGAAGGGGCCGCGGTGGCAGGTGGGGTGGGCGGGACGCTGCTGCTGTCGCCTTGGAGAGCCGGGGCCTCGGTCTGCAGAGTGGTGGGCGCCGGGACGGTGGGCGCTAGGGGGGTGGTCGGCGCCGGGCCAGCGGTGGCAGAGAGGGCGGTGGGCGCGGGACTGGAGCGAGGGTGGGTCGGAGTGGGTTTCACCGGCGGAGGGGTGGTCGGCGACGCGCGGAGCGGCGTCTGGGAGGTGATCGGAGCAGATCCGACCGTCGCCCGAGCGGTGGTCTCCGGAGACTGGGCTGAAGAGGTCGCAGCCAGGGGTCCGCGGACGGTAGTGCGCGGGGGTCCGGTCCTCGGGGCCTGGGCCGTGGGGGTCGGGGCCTTAGAGAAGGGGTGACTGGGCTCGCCCCATAGCCCTGGGCCCGGCGACGCGTCCACCTGCCCCGCGGCCGCGCCGCCGCCGGTGACATTCCCCGCCGAGGTGGCTAGGACGGCGGCGGCGGCGGTGGCAGCGGCGCAGCACAACAGGGCGAGGCCGCCCAGGCTCGGCAGGCTCCTCATGGCGCGCGTGGCTCCGCCATTCATTCATTCAGTCAGTCAGTCAGTCGGCTGGTCAGTCATCTTGTCCTCTTTGCACTCTAAACTGGAAAGCCGCAGCCGCTGCCGCCGCCGCCACCCGGCGTACCATCGCCACCTCCCTCTGACAGGCGGCCGGCCCCGCGGGCGGGCCCCAGCACGCAGGGAGCGACCGGGCAGTGAGAGGACGGCCCGCCTTCTCCGATTGGCAGCCGCTCCTGACCAATCGCAGGCCACGCTGGCCCACGTGATTCACCCGCTTCCCGGCCTCTTTGTAGCTCCACCGGCCAATCAGAGGACGCCGATGGGAGGGGGCGGTGCGTAAGGCGGGAGGAGGGTGGTGCGATCCCTGATCAAGCCGGCCCCGCTCGGGGCTGCCGCGGCTTTGTCTGCCCGAAGAGCGGGCCGCGGGCCGCGGGCACCGGGCGCCGCGAAGGAGACAAAGGACGCGCCTCGCGCGGCAGACGCCGGGCCAAATCATCTGCTCCACTGGGCGGCGGGCGCGACCCGGGGCGGGGAATATGCTCTCCGGAGCTTCCCCTCCCTCCCGAACAATGGGGCGCCGGCGCCTCACCCGGGGGGCGGGGACTGGGCTGGAGCCCCAGCGCGGGGCGAGGAAGGCGGCAGCGTGGATGTTGAGCGAAGCATTCCCCTCTGTTGCCCGAAGGAACCTGGCTCCGGGCCTGCGAGGTCCGCCCCGCCGTTCTCACTTCAAAGATGGGGAAACTGAGGTCCTTAGGGCCTCACGGAGCCCGGCCGTCGCCCTCTCCGGGCACCTGCTGTAGGCCGGGCTGGAAAAGGGGCCCAGAGGCCAGTTAGGGGCCGGAGGTGCAAGGTCTCTGCGTGGGGGAGACAGATTCACACTCAGACCTTATCGTGAACCCCTCCGGAGAATAGACTGTCAGGGTTGAGCCTCAGCTTCAGGCCGTGTCCAGACAGTTTTCACCTGTAAAATGGTGGTGGTCGGACACACACACACACACAACACTTTCCTCGCCCCTGGAGCTGTTGTGAAAACAAGCAATGTAGGTAAAGGGCTTAGGCCAGTGCTCAGCCCTCAGTAAACGCTCCCTGCTCTGTCCCTTGAGCCGCCTGCTGGTCCCGGGTTTGGGTGCGGGGCAGGTAGCAAGGTGCGACCCTGGGTGGCATGCAGCTTTGGATGAATGTGGAATTCGGACTCGCAGCCTCTCCCAGTGCGCCGACACGCAGGCTTCGGTCAGGTGCTGCTGCCTCTGATCTGCAGCTTCCAAGGGGAACCAAGCGAGGCGGGCTTGTCATCTGACCGGGCAGAATCCCAGTCCTGCTGCCAACCCAATTCTCCTCCCCGGCATGGCGCTTGCCTTTGTGTCTGCTTGCCCATTATTCACTGGCCTCCAACCAGAAGAGCCGGATAGGATTTGCGTATGAACCTGTATCTATGTTAATGAAATCATGAATTACTTCACATGCATGGTAATGTATGTGTGTGAGAATAGGTGTGCTTGTGTATGAACGCATATGTGTGTTTATAGGGTGTGTGTGCATGTTATATGTATTATGTGAGCGAAAGAGTATGGGAGCCTAGTATCTATGTTTGTGTAGTGTGTGTTTTAAGTTTCTTCGAATGGGTACTGGTGTATATTTTTCTATGTGCTTAATACTTGTGCATCTATATGGGTGTGTCTTGGTATATTTGTCTATGTAGATGAGGTAGGACAAGAGTGGGAGTGTGTGTATGTTGGTTTCAAAATCAATATTTAGCAAGCATATATATATATGTATATGTATGTATATAATTCCTCCTGACCTTTCAAATCCCAACCAAAATGCCAAAGCCTTTAAGAAATTTCCCTGGATTTTTTTTAATGTGTCTAAGAATCTCCTGCAGAACTGAGAATGAAGCTCTTCTTCCACATTTTCTCACTCCCTTTGTTTATTCATTGATCACAGCCCTGATCTATCAAGTTATCTTCCCCTCCTCCTCTTCCTAAAAGGGCCAAAGATGAGGTTTAAAAGTATATGCAACCAGATAAATTGAACTGCCCACATAGAGATATATGACATCTCAGCACCGTGCACCAGCCTGGATACTAGTCGTGGTTTATGAGTCTTCTTCACCCATTGGACCGTTCCCACCTCTGTTCCCAGTGCCCAGCAGGGAGAATGCTCATACACTGGTTCAAACACACTCCCTGCTCTGCAGGAGAAAGATGAGACTGCTCCCGTGTGGAGGAAGAGCTGTTTGTTCCTTAGGCAAACAGGACAGGACCAACACATTTCATGGTCCAAGGTCATGGAAGGATGGTTTGAAGAGGCTGGTATGTCTCTTGGCCTGAGAGAAATGGGCACTTGGCCTCCTACTCTCCGGCAAGGGTGCAGAGAGCAGCCACCTGCAGTTTATCAGTTACTTCACTTTCCCAAGCCCCATCCTCCCCTCTGTCTTTGAACAGCCTGAACTAATTAATGAACTAATGTTTCTTTGTATGCATTAAGAATTGTAAATCGGAAAAATATATATATAAATGATCAAGGGTTCATGAGGAAGGAGGTAGGGAGGGCAAAAAAATGAGTTGATACCAAGGACTCAAGTAGAAAGAAAATGTCTTGAAAATGATGGCAACATATGTACAAATATGCTTGACACAATGGATAGATGTGTGGATTGTGATAAGAGCTGTACAAGCTCTCAATAAAATATTTTTAAAATAAAATAAAAACGATTTTTGTTGTTTAAAAAAAAAAGCCCTGTAAATCACCCTTGTGTAATCCTGGCACGAGCATGGCTGGCTACGTGATCTGGGGAGTATATAAGCTCACCTCCAATAAAGCTCTGGGCTCTGGAGCATCTATGCTGCAGGGACCCCGTGCCTCAACTTTTTGTCTGTCTCTTTTGTATACAAGTTTTCTCTTTTGTAGAGCATACCCTCTCAAACCCTTTCCATTTGTGAGATAAGAGCTGGTCTCTACATTGTCTCACACTCCCGTAAAGATTTATAGTCTCAGAAATCCTGGATGCAGTCACTGTCGTGGTTCGTAAAACCTAAGTATCACAGTCACTATGAATTGGAATCAACTCAATGGCAGTGGCTTGTTTTGGGTGGGGGGGGGAGTTTCTTGGTGCTCCATCTATGTGGGTTCATATTTCATCTTTACCAATGCTAACCTTGAACCTCGTTGGCTGAAGAACCAGTTGAGGAACCTCTACTCCATTAATTTTCCCCATCAGGTGACATGGTCTGACAGTGGCCCTACCAGATATGGCCAAGTGATAGCTGAAAACTGCTGGGCTGGCCCTGAACTCTGCTGTATAGGAGATTTCACCAGCAGTAGGGAAGAAAGCTGATGCAGCTTGCTCGCCTGGAAAATCACAGAACAGAGAACCGAAGGACTGCCAAAGTCACCGGGGCCAGCGCTCTGTCTCAGCCAGGGTTCACATATGCGGTGGCTTCTAAGATACGCTAATTCACCCTTAATACGTATAGAAGACATTTCATTTTGAAGAAAGGTAACAGAAGTGTATTAATGTTGATTCATGCAGCATTTGATTCAATGTTTTGTTGCTCTGATTATTTTTTTCTTTCCTTTTTAAAAAAATCATTTTATTACAGGGCTCTGATTATTTCTTAGGAATAACATTTTACTTTGTGTTTAAAAATTGGAAATACCTTAAGAACCCAACCTCAGAGAAACAGATTATTATACCTGTTCAATGTTATCATATAGAGTAACCAGAACTGTGACGATGAAGACAATATAGGAAATCTTATTAGGCATTTGAGCTCTTACTCGGTGCCAGAAAAGCCCTGGTGGCATAGTGGTTATGCATTGGGCTACAATCCCCAAGGTTAGCACTTCAAAACTACCAGCCATTCCTCTGGAGAAAGACCAGACTTTCTACTCCTGTAAGTAGCTACAGTCTCAGAAATTCACAGGGGCATTTCAACCCTGTCCTATAGGGTTGCAATGAGTGGTCAAGGACTGGATGGCAGTGAGTTTGGTTTTTTGGTTTCTCTGTAGCTAGACCCTATGCTAAAAAAAAAGCACATGACTTTCATTTACTCCTAACAGCTAAAAAGGGCCCAGAGAAGATAAAGCCATTTGCCCAAGGGCGCTTAATAAGCGATAGAGCTAGATTTCAAGGCTGGCTGGCTGGCTCCGGCTGGCACCCTTAAAACTACACTTTGCAGTGTAGAGAAGATGGGTTTTGAAGATGGGCAGGAAGATCTTGGGCAAGTCCCCAAAACCTTTCACAGACTCAGTTACTTCCGCTTTCAAATGTGGGGGATAGCCTTCCCTTTAGGGAATAAAGGGAACATGCTTATGATATCGTTAGGCAGAAAAGGAAAAAGAAAAGTATCACTCTACCTTCATCAAAAAACAATACAATGTTATTATTATTTTAATGAAAGCCATGACAACTGTGTAGCAATGTTGGCTTGCACTCTCCTCTCCAGAACTGCAGTTAAGGCTCAGGGTTGTCAAAAGACCAGTCATGCCACCCAGGACATCTGGGGTCACCGGCTGACTGAGAGACCACAGACTATCAAAGGTCAGGAAGGATCCTGGTGCGCCTGTGAGCAGCCTGTCCTTCCTCCCGCAGACAGCCCAGATGTTCGGATTCCTCTGTGTGTCCCCAGCAGCATCTAGTACTGCATCAAATACAAAAGAGGCGACTCAAGTATGGCTTGTTGAGCTAACCAGAGCCTTATTATATGTGACACTGCTCCAAGAGGTTTGTATCGGTCCCTCATTTAATCCTTGAAAGAGGAAGAAACTGAGCCTGTGAAAGGTTACAAGGGACTTGCCCAAGATCTTCCTGCCCGTCTTCAAAGCCCACCTTCTCTACACTGCAATGTCCATCCGTGTGGCCCCTGCGTGGTGCACTGTACAGTAGGAGGTTGTGGTGGATGGAATGGTATCCCCTCCAAACTATGTGTTGTAAATCCTAACTCTATGCCTGTGGGGTGATAATCCTATTGGGGAGTTGATTGTTTTAGGCTTGTTGGTGAGACAGGGTTATAGAGGACCTGTCTTAAACCATTCTGTTTTGAGATGTAAAAGAGATTAAAAACAAACAACCCAAGTGAGAGGAGAGAAGGGGAAGAGAGATGACAAGACTGCCCAGGAGCAGAAACTCACAAGACA